AGGCGCTGGCCGATAGCTGTTTCAATGTTAATAAAGTAACGACGCGGTGAAATCAGGCGTTCGTCAATATTTTGGGCATTTAGATTTATTAATACCATCTTAAAGTTTGTTTACTTGTCTTGCATTTGTCGAAAAAAGTACCCCCCCCCTCCCCCATCTTGAATTGAAGTCGAAATATTTCCGATTGAGGTGGTGGGTTCGTCTGGTACGAGAGGAAAAACTTGCGGAAAAAACGGTTGCCAAAGTTTGGCAACTTCCAAGGCTTGAGAGTTTTTGGAAACTGGAAATTTACATTTTTATGTGCCTTTAATGAACGTTTTTCGATAACATTTACTCACAAATACGTTTTAATAGAACATAAAATGAGTTGAGCCAAAAACAGACAATTAGCAACAAAAAACACACACAAAAAAAAAACAAAAAGACCCAACACCCAGAAAAAATGCCGTTTTCTTTGACTTCCTAGTTTTGACGAGCGTTTGATTTCCTCACATTGCCTTTTTCTTTTACGTCGATGGCCGACGCTGACTAACCGTGTATGTGTGTGGACATCGATTTTCAGAAAAGTGGGAAGAACGTAACTCTGATTCCTTTCTAATCTTCGTAATAATATTGCTCTCACCGCGAAATTGGAGTGCAAACAAAGCAGGCTGGGTTGACCTGGAGCAGAGTAAACTGAGCAGATAAGGGATGGAAAAAAACAAGGATAATACATGCTTTTGCTTTTTAGCGCATGGGAGCAGAAAAAAAGAAAAAAAAAAGAAATTAACAAAATGATAATAAAAAAATAAAGTGGATCCGGCGCCTCACCTTTCGATGATCATAACGATAATCAATCAGTATGGCTAAAACTTTTGTGAAGTGGGCTCTTTCTCATTATGCTATATGAATGTATCTCCAATCAAACCACCATACTTAAAGCTGGCAATAACATGATTTGAAACAAATAAATGTTCTGGGGGCTCTCGTGGTCTAGAGGTAAGGTGTTCTCTCCTCGTTTAATAGGTCCCGGGTTCGAAACCTGACAACGACGGACACATTTTTACTCTAATAAATCCACTCCTTTCGTCTTGTCTGCTTTCGTCTCCACTTTCTGCCCCCCCCCCCCCTTTTTGCCCCATTGTCTGGGCTCCTGGCTCTTTCTGCTGCCTTTTTAATGCCACTCTTCCCCTTGGCTCCTTACTGCTGTCTTTCAGCCACCCTCCTAATCTCATGGTAGGTAAGACCTCACTCCTAGTCTTCTCGAAAAAGGGCGAAAAAAATCTTGGAGGTCCCGTGTACAAATTGCGCACGACGAAGGTTCAGTCTCCACTCTGATAAAATTCAAAATTAATTCCTACCAAAGTGAAAATGTTGAATGTGTCCCCCGCACTCAAATGACCGTATGCCGCTGTGAGCTCCGCAAAACACTTACAAAAAAAAGAGATGACCAGGAAGATTTGTGTGTAGTTAAAACCCCTTACCCTATCCCCAATGAAACAAACCCCCCTAACCCTAATCCCTATAAAATATCCAGCAACCCCAGCCAACTACCAACCCTAACCTCAATACAACCAAACAAGAAACCTAACCCACTTAGAATATCCACAGACTCCAACCAACCACCTAACCCTAATCGTACTACCACTCATAACAATTAACCCCCAACTCGAAAACTCACTACCGTCAACCACAAAGACCCACCCGTGTACGTAACCCCAGTTACACACCAGAATAAAAGAAACCGACGTCAGCGATGTTATGTTCGAGTAATATAATATACAATCAACCAACTCCTTCAGCCCCTCCCCTACCCCCTCCCATCCCCTCACACACACATACACACACATACACACACATACACACACACACACACACATACACACACACACACACACACACACACACACACACACACACACACACACACAAACACACACACACACTCCAATCCCTTAAGCCCTCCTAAAGGCAAACTGGAACAGGAACAATAATTATTGATTGTAACGATGGGTCGCTATTGTTTTACGTCAACGCTCGCCAAACGGAGGAGTATCGCTAATTAGCGGGCGATTAGGTAACTTTGGTGGGCGGTGAGGGTCACCCGGGTACTAGTAGATTCTTAAAAATACCCCACTTGTAATTACATGAACATTCTCGTGTGGTACGAAAATAATTCAAATCTAGCTTTTTAAAAAGCACTCATATGACCTTATGCAGTTGCGAGCGCCGTAAAACTTCTACCAAAACAAAGAGGAAAAGTGGGCGTTGGCTATTGGAAAGGTTGATAAGCACCGTTTTACGCGCTTAACGACCCAGTGTCGTATAGTGTCCACATTGCTGGTGTAGTTTGCGCCTTTTTTTTTATCTCACCAACCGTCTATCGTCCTGTTCTCCCCTTGTTTTAAGTATTCATATGACCTTATAGCATGCATCAGAACACCATTGAGTTACAATCAGAATACTGAGTATGTATCAGGATTAACATTATTATCGTTTATATTACGGTGAATTTATGTTATGCATGTGACTTTGAGCCTGTTTGTGAGTGCAAGCATACTGCGCGTGTGTACATGTGTTTGTGTGTGTGTGTGTGTGTGTGTGTGTGTGTGTCTGGGGGGGGGAGGGTCGAGTGTGTGTATGTGTGTACGTGGTGAAACACCAAACCAATGTGCGAGGATCTGGACAATAAAGATGTATCTTATGTTATCTTATCTTACCTGATCTTATGCTATGTTATGTTATGTTATCTTCTTTTTTGTGTTTGTTACTCTCTTGTAACACTCTAATCTTCGGCACTTATATGAACTTATTGTGTTGCAAGTGCCGTAAATATCCTACTAAAACTTAAAAACAACCGTGCAAGTCTGGGACAACTGTGGCTACGTGAGGTAGCCATCATCTCAGCATACAGATGTACATGTCTGACGAAGTAGTATGTATAGCCGAACCTTCTCTATCGGCCACCAGTCCATGAAAATTACTTGTACAAAACAAGGACTTCCCACTCCGCCCCACCCCCATCTCTGGTCCCGTATTCCTTTTGATCCAATCCCGCCCATCCCACAGCTTACCCCCATCTCCCCCCCTCTCTCTCTCTATTCTTTCTCTCTCACTCACTCACTCACTC